AAGTAGTTTTAAACTGCTTGAAAGACTTACAAAAGTATTTAAATAACAGCGTTCTAAACAAAGCAATGGACAAGACCCACACAGGTTTCTCCTAGGCCTGTCGTACGTTACAGGCCAGTTTTGTCTTAGCTTTTCAAGGAAGTAACTGCAAGTATAAAGTCCTTCCTGCCAAAGACAGATGTAAAATCACAGTTCAAAAGTCTAGGAAATCATTAATGGGACAAGTAAAAAGGAACATCGGTACAGGCCTACAAATTAGTTAAAATGTACAATACAATATACAAGCAAAGAATTTAGAAGGACCGCATTGTGAGGAAGCCCTTTTGTTGAGATTTTCAGCTCTAAAAAATTATTACTTAAACAAAATGTATTAGAGTTTTCAGACAACATTTAAGAAGGGCCTGGAATCTCTTAACTGATTTTTTTGAGCTGCAAGACTGAGCACGTTCTTCCAAATTCTGAGATGGCTGCGCAGCTCTCCATGGCAACCCAGGATGCAGGCACCCTGCAGCCTGCTGGCAAGAATCTAACAACAGCGCATTCGGCTAAAAAAGCTTCTAAGGCTAAAGGAAGGCTGCAACTTTAAGGTGGGGTATAATCTGTATCTTTTCAAACAGGTCAACAAAGAAATAAAGGATTGCTGAATAACTATGCTCCTCCATTCAAAAACTGGATAAGAAAAACAATGGTAGGAACTAGACCAGCAAAGGCTCTAGTCTCGTAGGTAACTAAGACTAGGTGTGGTATAATTTGAGGTCAGATACGACATAACATAATGTTAACTCCAATTCATTAAGTTTGGAGCTTTTTCCCTGTGTACTTCACTCTTCACAGTATGCTCGCAGCTCTTTTTTTCATGTCACATTAATAAGCCTGTTTCATTCCCCCCCTTTAAGACTATATTTACTATTTATTGCCCATATCTATCTTGCTAAGCACAGCACAGTTGATTAAAGATATCCGATGTAATATCTTCTTCTACTAACGCAGAGAAACAGGGTGATCTTTCCATACCATACAAACAATAAAGGATGGCTGAATGGCCATGTCTCGCTTTCGTTTCCAAATATGTGAAGCTGACGACTGACAGAAGTACCCCTTAAAGTCAAAACACTCGGCCTCAGACACCAAGAGCGGCCTTCCAAAGCCCCCCGCACGGTGAGCTTAGTCCCCAGCCCCTCGGGCCGCTCAGAAGGGCTCGGCGATCGAG